ATGCTTTTTCGTTGTTTTATCTGGGTTATTTTTGTTGTATTTAATTTCCATTATTTTTTACTTAAAGTACAGTTAATATTCTAAGAAAATCAATACATATAAACGCAAATTTCAATTTTGTAGAAAATTTAAAAAAAAATCGTAAAATTTCAAACATTTTTCCAATACTGACTGCACACGTAGCAACCGTTGCAGCCACGTGTTGAGACAACCTGATTTTCTTGTTCAATAGATACACACGAGGCAACCAAGGTGTATTAAACAATAGTTGCGTTCCCCAACTTTTCCGGGTTGAAACCTGTAAAACTGTCACAAAGCAAAAGAAGCCAGAGAACCGAGTACGGGAACGCTTTCTGGTAAAATCCTGTAAATTCTTGCGAGTTAGGGAACGCAACTAATGTGTGATTGACAACTCAGTGCGGCTCTCTTTTAAGGTATTATAGTGTCAAAAAAATATAAACAAACAATTCAAAATTCATGTTTTTTTTTAATTTGACCTTATAGGATGGTTCTTATTCGGATAATATCAAATTCAATCACACTTTGTTAAATACATTTTGGAGGCAACCAATACGGCAACCTCTGTAGTGTTCAGTCTGCTATGAAATGAACATGCGGAAGAAAATTTCGTTTGCTACAAAATCTCCTTTTCAGCTGACATGTTTTCAACAAACTAAGCCAGTAGAATCAATAAACAACAATATGCACAAGGTAACCGACTGGACAACCAACACAAAATATCAAAATAATTTGATTTTCGGGTGACGGTTGCGGCAACGGTCGAAGCAGCATGCACTGGTTGCTTCAACGGTTGCCTCGTGTATAGTAAGCATAAAAATTTGATTTCTGACGATTTTTGAAGTGAAACTTATTTGCAACTTCGATTGGTAATAAATGCAAAGAATGAAAAATTAACACGCTCGTTGGGCTTTAATTCCGCCAGAAGAAGGTGATGATTTATCACGATTAAGATTAAGAATACAATTATGATCGAGATTGAGATTAAGGTTAAGGTAACTGTTCATTATTATACAAAAAATACGAATATAACATGCAAAGACATGTTTAGTTATTGTCATCATTTCTGCGCCGTCTTTGCTTTTTTTAAAACTTAGGTGTCAACATAAAATTAAATGCAAATTATTGAATCTCTTAACTACATATAGGAGGGTTGCCTTTTCTTTAACAATCAAATTCAATTTAAATTAACGCAATTAGGTAAATGAGCTACACATGTAAAAAGGTTTAGGTTTGAAAATAGTTCGAAGAGAATTGCCAGAAAGGCTTTATTTCACAATTATATTTAAGAGGGTTGCCACGCGTTTGAAAAACCAAATTCAACTTAATTCGTCAGTTCAGTTTCCACTTGTCTGAGAGGTCGAATTCAGTAAACTTATACAAAAGATATGTATGTATATGATATATTTACAAATGATTGTCGAGCAAAGGAGTTTTTGATTAGGGTTGTCACCTATTCGAAATGTCGTATCTATCTAACTAAATCAGTATATACGTATGCATATATGTATATGTTTATATGTATAATACGCGAAAACTTTTTTCATGAGGATCATAAGATCAGCACCGTTCTATTGAATTAAAGATCTTGGCCTGCTTAGATTTTGATATTCGAATTTGTTTTTTATCGGTAATTAGAAATTAGAGAAACCGCACCCTGCGAGACTTCTGTCCACTCCGCTCCACATGGATCCGCTTATAACTGTGAGAAAGGAGAAGTTTCACTTCAGTCGCTTTTTTTACTGACGCTCTTCCCCAATTATTTATAAGGAAAGCTGCATACTCCAACAAATTTTAATAACTCTGAGAAAAAGTTCGAATTTTTATGACAATTTTATATATTACACTGGATCCAAAATTATAGTTTGGTTTTCGTTCTCCAGACGCCACTATCCAATATCTATATAGAATCGTCCGGTGATTCCGAAAACCGAGTAATTTTTTTTCTGTGGATACGTTTTCGAGATATTTTCAATTTACCGTTATTCAGCTCAAAACAAAAAGTGGTTTCACTTAATCACGCATATCTTACGAACCAAATTAACAATCCTAAATGGAGATACATACGTCAAATCAAAGCTAATGAAAAAAGCGTGTTACTCAGGTGTACGTGGCGAATGAGTAACTTTCTTTCCTGTTCATTTTTCATAAAAAAAATCGTTGCGTATTTTCATTTGACCATTAGTAATTTGATTTTTTTTTTTTTTGTAACAGAACAGGCTTTAGCACAAATTTGGCTCAGAACCTGTTATTTTTTAAATTTTTCTTCCGTTAAAGTTTGATTTTTTTATTTATTTTTCATAAAAAATTAACAAAAAAAATGGAATAATTAATTAATTTGTCAGAAACTATAAGTCCTATCGGAAAGTGATGTATAAACTGCTTTCATTTGCCGTATTTTTATATTAAGATTGGTTCGTTAGATATACGTGATTAAAAGGAACCAATAACGGTAAATTGAAAACACATATCTTGAAAAGGTATCCATAGAAAAAACAATTAACTCCATTTTCGGAATCACCGAATAATTCTACATAGGAATAAGATAGTGGCATCCACAGAACATTTTTGGTGTAAACCAGTGTTCTTTTTTTTTACTTTTCTACATACATACATATTTATTTTGAAACTTGCGTTCACATGGTTTTTCGCACAGTATATACAGTAATAAACCTTTTTGAGTACTCCTCGGGGGTAAAATCTGATCAGGGTTGATAATGAGAAGGAGCATGAATTTTGCCGATTCAGAGTTGCATACAAATTTACTGTGGTATGAAAGAGAGCAACAAACGTACTATGGCAGAGTGGCACAGGTAATTTTGTAAACAAACACTTTTCTTATAATTTTAAGAGATAATTGCTATTTATTTTGCAATATTCCGATAACCAGTGTATATCCAGAGGCAGTGGCAACTGAGCCTCACTAAAATCTCCTCATCATGTTGGAGCAGCTCCGGGTAATGGACCATTGAATTCGCTGGCTGAACTTATGACCACCTTAACCTTCGGAGTATCCAAGAAAATGCGTGTCCTGAGTTTATACGGTAGCCATTCATAGCAATTACTATTATTATTTTTGAGGAGCTCCGGGTAATGGTCGGTCAAACTTGGGTGTGCTTAATGCGCTCTCTGGGCGGATGCGCTGGCAGGCTTTGGAGTCTCTATAACTACAAATCTGTTTTTTGTTTTGGAATAATGACTGAAATATATTCGGAAATTTAGAATTTTCCTTGATAAATTCACAAAATTTACGGTTTTCATAAAAATATAATCTTACAATGGATATTTTATTGATTTTAAACTTTCATTTATGAAAACTCCATTCAGGGCTACAATTACGATTTGAGTTTCCAGTTTAAAGAAAGACAAGCAATAATTATGTACTTTACTATTGATATTGTTCTCAATTAAGCATTAATATTATATTTAACCTACATTTTGTTCATAAACAACACAATTATATATATTTTATCCTCGAAAAGAACTTTTTCTAATCATGAGGCGAAATTCCCCACAGTAAGTGTTGCCGTGCGCGCAAAACGAAAACGTTGCACACAACCCAAAAGTACTCCTCGGGGACCAATTGGTGAAAAACTGCGAAAAGGTTTGTTACTGTATATACTGTGGTTTTTCGTAAAGGATAAACTGTATTTTAATTAAAAATTAGTAGAAGTTAAATACAAAAAAAAATAACCCAGAAAAAACCGAAAAAGCTCTGTACCTATTCAAGTGCATGGGAGTGTATGCAAGAAGAAATTAAAAGATACAAAATAAATGCAAATAAATAACTAAAATACATAAAATGTATGAGTTTAGAGTAGTGAAAACCGAGTAAACGCCGAAAAGTATGCAATATATGGAGAATAGCACAAATATGCGTACATACATATGTATATGGTGGGTGTGTGCGTGCACTAGGGATGTTAATTTTTTCACTTTTTACGATTTTCGGGATGTCGCTATCCCGGATCCCGGGTTTTAGTTATTCATTACTTTTCAACAACTTAAATCCGAATAAATTGCTTATATCTTGTCTACCATAATAGATAACAATAAATAAATGAGTTTGAAACCTACATTTTTATTTAAAGTGGCATTTTTATTTTTTCTCTCTTATGTCAAGATATATTTTAAAGGACTTTGTAAATTCAAAGATGTGATTAATTCCAAAAATTATTTAAAAAATTCAATGCAATGTAAAATAAAAATATGGGTACCAAATGAGAGATACAACTTCTTTAGAATTAAAAAACCTAAAAATTTTTCGGATGCAGAAGGCCGAATAGGTAATTTGTTAAGCTGATAAAGTTAGAAGGTCGCAATCCGAGGATGTTATCGAGTTTATATAAGTCCTTAACATATAATTTTTTCAAAAACTAATATCGTGAAATTTCAAGGATAAAATTTTAAAAGGACATTTTCAATACTTACCAGTCCTTATGTACCAAAAACTTGAATCTGATTAAATACATTCACACATTTCACTGAATTTTTTAAATCATTTTTGAATCACTGACGTCAGAGTGAAAAACTAAAAACGCACTTTTACTATATTTGGCCCATGGTTTCGCGAATATATTGATTTTTGTGTGTAAAATTTACTATCGCACGGTGTTATATGTATAATGAGCTAGACATTTATACAAAAATATTAATTATTAAATAAAAAAATATATTCAATAGTGGTCAAGAATACCTCGAAAATCCCGTGCATATTTGCTAGGAATCCCGGGATTTTCGGGACCAAAAAAGGCCGGAATCCCGGGGTTTACATTCCTAGTGTGCACTCACACGCAGCTGACTATACAAACAATGCAATTTAGCAAAGCAATAAGTTCAACAGACAGGCATAACATACTCGTAGATAAATTTTATTCATATCGCTGCGGTATGTTTATATTAATTCGGTTTTATATAATATATAATTTCGCTATGTAGAATATATGTATATATGTATAGCATATGGATTTGTGGGTACTCACCAGTAACACGAGACGTATGAGCAATCCGAAATTTTCGGGAACAGCAAATCTGTGGTCATCTTGAGATGCAGACGATGACGATGGCGATGCGAAAGACGACGTTAAGGACGTTGGGTACGATGCGGCTGATGATGTCAGTCGCTGCTGCACGAAACGCGTCGGATGCGGACGATTCCGATTGTAGTTGTTGTTTTTGTTTTTATTGCTGCCGCTGCTGTTGCTATTGTTGTTGTTGTTGTTGTTGCTGTGTTGCGTTTGTTTACTACTCGCTTGCTGTTTTTTTGAATGCTTTGTTGTAGCACTTTGGTTGTTTGGGTGCACGCGAACGTAGGTCAGCCACCGAACGAAACGTGTTCTTAGCAGCACTGCACTATGGGCTGAAGTGTGGGCGTGCAAGACGGCTGGGTGGACCCTGTGTATGTAGTTATGTACGTAAAATGCGTTCGGTATATTGCGATTATCTCGGCTTAATTTTTTTTTTTTTTTTGGAAATTTTTTCGTTGATTTTTCTTACTTCTTTTTTTAAGCTTTCGGCGTGCAACAATCAATGCGAAAACTTCGTGCTGCTACTACGTACATATGTATGTAACCGAGACAGTGTACTCTTGGTCTTGGTGGCTACCTTCGGCATGCAATTTTCAGCTAACTCATTTGAGTGGATTCCTTATTTCTTCACAAACTTTCCCCACTCACAGCTTTTCTTAGGCGCTTGCACCGGTAGGCGTCTAATTGGCAACTGCCGCTGAATGACGCTGCGAGAGACCTTGTTGGCTCTGCACACTGTCTATGGATCGAAGTTCAAAGCGGCGTCAACGATTTTGGCACTGCTATGCACAGCCTTTTGCCTTTTCTTTTTTGCTGTGAAATCTGCAGCCAAACACACGTCAAATTTTGATCTTTATTTCTTGTGTGTGCGCGTGCTTGTGTGTCAATGTTTGTTTAATTCTGCTGCACTGCAGTCAATCGCTTGACGCAACAACAAACACCAACTATGTGCTGTATGCTGACTGACGGCTGCTCTACCGCCACTATCACTACTCACAGGAGGGAGCAAAAAAATCCTTCAACTCAACACAAATTTTAGTACAAATAGGTTTGTATGTGTGTGTCTCTGTATATGTATGTATGTATCTATTGGTATCACGTAAGCGCATACAAGCCGCAGGGGGTTTGCTGTCTCGCCAATTCAATGCCTACTTTGTGCCGCGGCGGTCTCAGCTGGCTTGTAGGTGCTTTAAAATGAGCCAATAAGCTGTCGTTCTCCAGCCGCCAGTCGAATCAGCCAAAAGCCAGCGGAAGCGTAATTCAACGAGGATTCTGGAATTACTGTTGTCAGCGCCTACACTGCTGCTATGTACTTTTACTTCTGCCGCCTGGCCGTCACTGCGCCTAAAAGCCTATTCAATTTGGTTGGTGGCTTTGAGTGCGCACACAGCTGTATGTATGGATGTGTGTGTATGGTTGCGTGTGCTTGTATGCTAAGTGGAGATGTGTGTTTTGTTTGAGGAGTAGTGCATGCGACGAATATTACCAGCCTTAATTAAGAAGGAGCAGCTCTACTGCGACTGTTGCTGCTCAGTCGCTGGTGCTGCTGTTGCTGCTGCTTTTGAGATTGCTATTTCTGTTGGTCGCACTTTCTTTACCGTTGTCGTTTCACTTAGTTTGTATTTCACGTTCCTCGTCAATCCTCCTCGCTTAAATCCACTCGTTGTATTCAGTATCTGTTCTAAGTATGTATATTCGTATGTGTTCGCGTGTGTGTGCAGTTTTGTTTAAACAAAGCAAAGGCACCTGACTTATTCAAGCCAAATTCTGCGTGTATGAAATGTTTATTACACTCCTTTTTCATAACCAGCTAAGTACTTTTTCCCCCTACTCACTATTATGCACAAAAATGTATGTATTTGCGAGCGACTAACGGTGTTTCCTACCTTCTGTAATATATGTAGGGAAAATATGAAAAATTATACACTTCACCTAAATTAAATGTATTTACTTCACAGTTTTTTTTTTCGTCAACTTAGCCTCATTCGCGGGCACTTGTTGTCTGGTATTTAGTAATTTTTTTTACTTAGTTGAAGGTCCCGTTTTTTCATAGTTTTCTTGCGTGCTTTTTGCAATTTTCACAATTTAAGCCCTGTTCGTGCGACACTTTTTATGTTTTTATTATACTACATACATACATATATCTATTTAATATGCGTTGTTTGTTTTAGCATCCCTTCGCATTTTCCATTCAGCTTTCGTAAATTAAACTTCCCTCTACACTCTCAAGCACAAATACTTATGTACATATTTTTATATATTTCTTCATTATTTTTAATATGTATGTTTATTATGTTTATGTTTATTATTTATTTATACTCCTATTGCTCTATGAGTTAAATCTGCAATGCTGGTCACGTCGTTGCGAGTATACATCCGTACGCGTTCCCGGTTCTGCATCGACTCAGTTGTTGTCTCAGTATTGAGTGTTAGTTAGGCCAAGTCGTGTCCGTCTAGCATCGCATCGTGTACATTTTTTCCATCTACATATAGTACATTAGGGTGCTTCTTATTTGACCTAACAAATTTTTGTTTACCGTTTGTCACGTGTCATACTTTTATTCTGTTGTAAGACATCAAAAAACGTTAAGTAATAATTAGGGGTAGGGGTAAAAATCTTCGAAATACTATTAACTAACACCCACATTCATAAAAAATAAGTGAGATTTTTAATGCTTTATAAAACGAAAATTTCTATGAAAATTTCACTTTATACAGGCAGGTTCTGCAATTCACTTCTGAGTGAATCTCAATCAAATTCGCGTTGAATTCAAATTGATAGGGGTTGAAATTCACTCGTAAGTGATTTGCAGAACCTGCCTGTATAAAGCTCGTTAAATCTATTTTATTTTTTATGAATGAGGTCTTGGGAAATTCGCGAGGGACTGGCAACATAAAAGTATTTGTTAGTGTGACTTAAATTAAACAATTATTGCAACAAAAGATAAGTACTATATGCTAACAATGTAGATTTATTTGTATCAGGGTACTTTTGCTGTAATAAATTTATTATATTCTTCAACTACTGCGAAGCCTCGTTCCGCAATATCATTAACCACTCGTATTGCATGTAAAATATATTTTTAAGATGCTTTGAAGTCTTCATTTCCTTTCCAAGAACAAGGTTGTCTATATAAAAATGCGATGCAAATTTTAAAGGTTTCAATAAATTTTAGCGTGTTGCTCTAAAAGAATACAGCTACCACCTCCTATGCCATTGTAGAACGCAGTTGTGTCGAAGCAAAAGCATTTTCTTCACTTTAATTTCCAGCACAGCTAAACAACGTAACGTTCACTGCTGTTTGTCGAAGAAGATAGTATAGTTTTCTGTTACAGATTCCATATATGTAGGTTTTTTCTCGGCTTTAATTCTCCTCTTTTTTGCCAATAACAATCTCGTTTAAGGCATCGCTGTGGGCTATGTATATTGAAAAGATATTTAAAATTATTTTGCCATTCGTTTCTTGTTTTTGTGATTCTACAGAATGTTTACATTTATTTTTCTTACTTTTTTTTAAATTTCTGCCACTCGTTAAACTCTATTTCTATCGTCTTTATAACATCTCATTTTAATTTAGTCGGCATGCCAGCTGGTTCCCTGACAAGCCACAACTTCACAAGCGATTAGTTTGCTTCTTTAAGATTTTTTTCGAAAGTTGAAAAATAAGAAGCACCCTAATGCGCATGCTTGCATATGTAGCTTTATACGAGCGTCGCAACTCCAAACCGCACAGAAAATGCACATTCTCATTCGTACTCATTATTTGCCTTCGTTTTTGCATTGCCATGTACGCCGTAGTGTGCGTAAGAACGCAATGGTATTTGTATCGCTCCACTGACCTCGTCCTCGTCAAAGTTCGTCTTTACTCGGCTTAGGATGAAAATGAGCGCATGAAGGGTTTGAGAAGTTTATTTAATCCTGCGATTGGCCTCTCATCCAGAAAATGCCTTGTTTGAGTTGAAATTCTTAGCTGGCATGTGATGTTTGAGCTGTTGAATATTCACAATTTCTAATTCGGTACTTTACTACAATCCACTGTTGAATAGAGAAGAGAAGAGCATAAAGCGCGATTGCTATGTAGTGGAGTTACTAAGAAAAGTTGTGCAATGATACACCATGTATCCGGTTCCAAGTACTCGATCCTACTTAACCACGGCTAAAATTATCTTGCGACCATACTACAATCATAATGTTTGTTCCATTTAAGTAGTCCCCTTCGAACTCAATACAACGTTTTCCTCGATACAAAAGCACTTCCAAAGAGCAAGTCTTATGTCCGCACAGAGGTCTACCATGGCTTGTGCGGCCAGTGTAGCTATGGATATGTTTTTTTTCTATAATCAGCCGCCCCTCGGCAGATAATACAAGCCCTCGAACGAATTTCTGCCATAAAGAACTTCTCAAAAGCTATTGGCAAACTAGTTGCAAGCTCCGCCCAGGGTCACTTTTACGTTTAAATATTTGTAAACTCATTTCGGCCGCTGTGGTGTAGTGGTAAGCAGTGCGCGCTTTCACTCAGCAGCACCTGGGTTCAAGCCCTGGTCAAAGCAACATCGCAAAAATATAGAAAACGGTTTTTTCTTAACAGCGGTCGTCCCTCGGCAGGCAATGGCAAACAGTGTGACCGTTTTGATCCAAGTGGATCAAAACTGATGCATTTTTCGATGAATTTGGGGATACTTTTTTTTAAATTTTGATACTTTTCCAAATACAAATGAAAAAAATCTGTAAATTTTTATGCATTAAAAAACATGTCGTATACCTGTGGCAACGTACATCCAAAAGTTCATTGTCGTTCTCTGAACGAACCTTTCATGTATTGTGATTCATGGTCCATGTCGAAAAACGTCCAAATGTGAACAAACGAACAGTATTATAGCGCTGCATTTTTTTATATTCGCTATGTTCAATAATAAAAATTAGAGCTTGGTACTCGGCAATTCGGTGCTCGGTAAGGCCCTGTTTCCACAGGAAAACACCAATGTCGTGATAACCATGTCACAAAATACATCTCCAATGGATACCGCCTTATTGCTTGACATCTATTGCAGGCAATTTGATAGTTTGACAGCCATATTTTCACTTGATAGAAAGCGTGCTGGTGGTTATATCTATGAAATATTAATATTAAATCAAAATAAGGATCTGTTCCCTACTGGATTATTTATGACAACGTTTTAGGAAGTTATTCAGTAAGTTTGTTTAAGATTTAAATGTTTTTTAACACCGAAATTGAGAGAATGCTGCCTGGCGGCGTCATGCGGCAAATGCTTATACATATCTAGACATCAAAGTGCCCACACACAACAGTTGGTAGGCAATAAAAATTGCAAGTTGTAACTGCATCTGAAATTGCGCAAATCGCGCTCGGGAAATAATTTC